TTTTTCCAGGAATTGTGGTAATTTCAATCAATTTCCAGATGTTTCCATAATTGGAAAACTAAATCTAAATCTAAAGTCTCTAAAGTTCCAGGTTTTCCAGGCTGCGTGGGAACCCTGTTCATAATTTCAGTCTGGGGTCCTCCATCCCCCTCCCTCCGGCCTGCGACATGATGTCAGAAATATAATATAATATAATCCGGCCTTTGAGATTGTGTTTTTAACTTTTTCTAGTTGTTTTATATAAATTCAAACTACCCCTTCATATATAATTAATGACACAATTACATTTATTTTTGTTTGGTGCAACATAATGTCAGAGGTCAAAGAAGAGAGCAGATTTCAGGCCAGATAAACCTTTATTAATCCAGGTGTCATAGCAGCAACAGCAAAAATAGGATGAAAGCACAGGATGGTTACAGGTGAGAGTGACGGACCAAACCAGGATGATAACAATTAATATTAATCAAAAATAAAATATACATATGTATATATTTTATATATATAATAAAATAAGCAAAACACTGGACAGCTGGATATGTGCACAGAATTGAACAACAAAGGTTATATAAAATGAAAAAAAAATGTCGATTTTGTTAGATATTTTCACAATATTGACTTTATTCACTGAAAAACCTGATGAGTTAATTTAACTCAAATTGTTTGACGAAACCGGTTTTCAGCCTTAAACCGGTTTATTACCTCCAACAATTTAATCATGAAAAGATGATGACTTGAGTAGAAGTATTTATTCTTTATTCTTTCATTCAGTTAATTGAACTAGGGAGTATATTACACTCACATGCAGCATTTCTCCAAACTTATTTAAAATATGTTATTTATCTGAATAAAGGTCCTTCAATGCATTTTCTTCATACAAATCTTCTCACTTAAACTGAATTCAGTTTTATTTTCTTCTACTTAAGCAAATTATTACAATAACTGTCAAAACAGCTGATAAAAAAAACTTTTTACAATTAACTGATTATTAAAATGATTTGTAATGAAATAAAGTCAACTTGTCAACTGTAATTATATAAACAATACTTAAAATACTGCATTCAAAATTATTATTATTATTATTATTATTACTTCAACAATTCATTTTTCGAAAACAAGGATAAAGAAGTTTCTGCTAAATTGTGTTTTAAATTAATAATTATTATTTAAAATTTATTGTGAAACCTTTTTGGGCTGGAACAGCTTTGACATGAATTTTCGTATCTCTTTGGACTGAACCCCATAAATAATGGGGTTGAGGCTACCGGGGATAATGTGAAACAAAATGGCAGACAGTTTCCTGTAGTCTGAGTGTTGAGGGAAGCGATGCAGGATGACGATGAGCATTCCACAGAAGAACATAATAATATATACAAAGAGGTGAGTGCTGCAGGTCTTCAAGGCTTTACTGTTCAGAGACTTGTTCTTACTGGTCAGACAGACCACTGTAATCTTAGTATACGTGAGAACCATGCTGCCTATAGAGGAGGTGAGCAAGACTACAGTGAAAGTGAGGCCATAGACATTATTAATGAACACATTCTCACAGGAGAGCTTAAACAAGGAGGCATTGTCACAGAACGGGTTCATGATCATAGTCCTGCATCGGTTCAGTCGTATGGTCAGACCGAGTAGAATCCCAACCAAAACAAAGGCCACTCCCCAGGCAGAAACTCACCATTTTGTTGGTCATTATGGAAGAATAGCGCAGGGGATTGCAAATGGCCACATATCTGTCAAAGGCCATAATCATGAGCACTGTGTGAGCAGTGGCACCAAACATGTGCGTGGTGAAAGCTTGAACCACACATTCATAATAACTGATGAGGAGCTCAGAGGGAGGCCGCAACATATCTGAAAGCAAACGAGGAACCATGATCGAATTTCCAAGTATATCATTGACTGGTAGGTTGCAAAAAAGAAGATACATAGGCTGGTGGAGGTTCTTGTCAATAAAAACCAGAAATGCAATGCCAGCATTCATGAACATTATTAAAATGTAGGAAAATAAGAACAAGAGGAACACCGGGTAGATAGAGCCCTTAGAGATATTTAACCCCTCCAGCTGGAGTGTGAAGCTGTTGAATGTGTAGTTTTCCATCAGCCTGCAATAACAAAGAGAGATCACGATGCACATATGCTCAATGACATTACTTTACAAATCACCAAAAACAATATAAAGCTCATGCATTTACCAGATGATGTAGTTCACCAAAAGACTAAAGAGTAGAGAAAGACTGTTGTATAGTAATACCTGTTTTGAGTCCTCTGATTCATCAGCATTTAGTCTTCCTTGTATTGTGTCTTTGTTGCAGTGTTATATAGTCAGTTTTATTGTCAGGGGGCTGAGTCATTGTTAACTAAGATGAACATTATCAAATCATGATGGCTAATGGGAAGTGTCATCCAGCAATTGTAACTACTATTAGCTTTGAAATTAAAAACATTTTTAAGCCTACATGTTATGAGGGATTAATAATGGAATGTATGTTTCATAAGGGTTCAGAGCTTAAAAACACAATGAACATATGCGTATCTCCACCAGCTATAAGCCTTTAGGGGATCATGCGTCTGGTCGTGTCTATGTGTCCGTGTGTGTATTTGTCTGAAGCTAATCTTGCATACTACAGGATCCATTATCCTCATATTCGTTGTGCACATTTATGACTGTATGCTCAAGGACCTCTCATGGTTGCGGTGGTTCAAAATTTTGTTGACTGCTCTGTTTTATGCTCAGTGCCTGAAATAGGTCGGTACTCGCTGGTTACTTAGTACCAGAACTACTAAATTTTGTCCCCAAGACTATCCTTACTTCTTCTTGAGTACCACCTCCTCTGGTGAGCATTTGTATTATTTAAAGGTGTTTAATATGAAAAATAGTCACATTAGGGTGCTCTATCCCATTCTAGTGGAAATGGAATTTTTATATACTGTGAAAGCTAAAGCATCTATTACTGTTTGCAATAGTTAGCTTCTTCTGGCATTTTAGCAGTCTATCTTGAAACTCTATAAATCAGCTTGGTACTTCTGTCGTCAAACTGGTCTCAGTCTGTCTCGAAAGCTGTGTTCTGTCGCAGTTGAGGCAGAGCAGCCAGAGGACATCAGAGGGAGAACCAGAAACTATTTTCTCCATAAAATATATTCCAGTTTTCACCAAAATCACTGATAGAGGACATAATAACCAAGCTGTGTCTTCCAGGGCACATTCAAAGGCCACTTACATTTCACTTTTATTGTTATGAAAGATAGTACAGACTTTGTGATCCTCTTACATCCATATATTACCTTTTTAACCTCACAACTTTTGTTTGTTTGGTTTGATTGTCTTCATTTTCATATTACAGGTAGTTTTAGGTAGTTTCTTTGCATCCAAACCAACACTTCACTGACTGCTAACTTCACACATCATATTTTCCTTATGTTGAGTTATCGTTAATACAAAAATCTTTAATGTACTGCCTTCTTTCTTATGCTCTTGACCAAGACGGGCATAACAATTGATAGATATTATCCCTTATTACCTTTTTATTATTAAGCTGTAATGTAAAGAGAGACTGTCATGGGTTGCCTATACACTCATATTTAAAAGGGACAAACACAAGGTCACAGTAGAACTATCTTACTTCACAATTCATGTTATTCGTACTGATTAACTTACAAAAAAACCTTTGACATTGTCTTTATTATGATGAGGAAATTTTCTTGGGCTCAAACAACTTTGACAAGAATTTGCGTATCTCTTTTGACTGCACACCATAAATAATGGGGTTGAGGCTGCCAGGGATGATATGAAACAAAATGCTGCAGAGTTTTCTGAAATCTGAGTACTGGGGGAAGCGATGCAGAGCAATGAGTGACATTCCACTAAACACCATGATCAGATAAACAACCAAATGAGTGCTGCAGGTCTTCAAGGCTTTACTGTTTAAAGACTTGTTGTTACTGGTCAGACAGACCACTGTAATCTTAGTATAGGTGAGAACCATGCTGCCTATAGAACCTGTGAACAGGACTACAGTGAAAGTGAGGCCATAGACATTATTAATGAACACATTCTCACAGGAGAGCATAAAAAGTGAGGCATTGTCACAGTAAGGATTCATGATCATAGTCCTGCATCGGTTCAGCCGTACAGTCAGACCAAGTAGAATCCCGACCAAAACAAAGGCCACTCCCCAGGCAGAAACTGTCAGCCAGATCACCATTTTGTTGGTCATTATGGAAGCATAGCGCAGGGGATTGCAAATGGCCACATATCTGTCAAAGGCCATAATCATGAGCACTGTGAGACTGGTGGTACCAAACATGTGTGAGGTGAAAGCTTGAACCACACATTCATAATAACTGATGAGACGCTCAGATGGAGGCCGCAACATGTCTACAAGCAAACGGGGAACCATGATAGAGTTTCCAAGAATATCATTAATGGGCAGGTTGCAAAAAAGAAGATACATAGGCTGGTGGAGGCTCTTGTCAATGAAAACCAGAACAGCAATGCCCACATTCGCAACCATTATAAAGAGGTAGGAGAAAAGGAAGAAGAGAAAGACAGGGTAGAGAGACTCCTTGGAAACATTTAACCCCTCCAACTGGAGTGTGAAGCTGTTGTAGGTGTAGTTTTCCATCAACCTGAATGAAGAAAACAATTATGTTAATGTCACTAATGTCTAGATAATCTAGGTGTCAGAGAAGTTCTAAAGACACATACATGTTATGGACAGTGTCTCTAAATCTATCCCTTTCTTTTTCCTCTGTTGCAAATCATTGTTCTAACAACCAAAGCCAAAAATGTGAAAATTGTCTTTTTTATCTGATCCGAAATCTTGAGAAAAACGTATAAAAACTTTGGAGAAACAGGTAGATAACTAGTAATACCTGCGTTAAATGCTGTTTCACTCTGTTGTCCCTTTTTTGTTTTTTCCAGTTCCTTGCTGGTTATACCCACAAGCACTCACAAGATGATCTCTGTTTCAATGTTTTATAGATTAAACTTTAGGGAATTCAATGATCATTACCTTGGATAATCTATGATGCAACAATAACAATGAATTGCCATCACAGCTGTCAACAAGCAAAGATATGCAACTTGTAGCTCTCTGAGACAGGAAAAAAGTTTGTCTTTTGTTATACCCTCAATACCACCATAACTTAATTCTTTATTTGGATCTACATTCAATTTCACAAAGTGGTTGTTAATAATAATAAATAATTCTACAAGTCAGCAGCAATTTAAAAGTTCATATAATGATTGGAATAAGAAAATGCTCCATTGGGAATTTCTTGTGCTTTTAACTGTAGTCAATATATCTGAAAAAGCTTTGTCTTATTCCTTTAATGTATTTTTTGCTTATTGTGTCATTGCTGTATAAAGGTCAGCGGTCTGTAATGTTTATTTCATTCAGCACTTTGGGCTGCATGTTTGTATAAAAGATGCTATATTAAGAAAATAAAGTTGAGTTAATAATAAAGGTAAATAATTATACTATTGTTATAGTGCTATAGATACAGGTCAGAGGTCTGTACTGTCTATTTGATTAATATAAAAGGAACAATAATGGATTGCAACCAAATTTAGGAATGTTGTTCATAAAGCCACATTGCAAGTCTGTGTAACATTTCATATAATTCTAACAACAATAGCTCCACCTTGTGGCCATTAATAAAACCTTGCCATATCTCTTGAATGCAGTATTCAGTTATGGGCGATTTTGGGTGGTATCTTCAGATATGAATCACGAACACTTCCTGCTGGGATTCTTTCAGAAGCTGTTGCTGCAAGCAGCTGTACTTCACAGCAGCCTCTATGCTCCCTTCTGCTTTTGCTGCTTTAAAGAGGCCATTATTGAAGCAGGCTACCAGTTAATTCTGTATTCCTCTCACTAATAATGTATTCAGCCTTTCCTTCACATTGAGCTGCACATCCATGTGTGCATGAGTTTTTTGCTTGGGCCAATTTTCAGGGAAAATGTCAGCCTGTGATAGACAACCTGTCCACTGCACACTTTGCCTCTCACCTAAAGTGACCTGGAGTTGGCTCTAGCCCCCCATGAACACGCAAAAAGCATCAACAGGTACAGAAAGTTGGTGGAGGAATTATGTCAAAGATATTTTCCATAATTAACAAAACAAGTAAATTGACATAAAGCTTAAAAACACAATGAACATATGCGTATCTCCACCAGCTATAGGCCTGTAGGGGATTATGCGTTTGGTCGTGTCTGTGTGTCCGTGTGTGTGTAACGGAGTAGAATAGACTTGGTTTAATTATGGCAAAAGTGGGGCAACAGTGCCATCTATTGGCACGGCAGTGGCTATGACATTGTGGGTTGGTGTTTACGGAACTAAACAGAGTGATACGGGAAGCGCTGTGGTAGGTCACGTTCTCCCGCATGGTCTGGGATAATTAATAATTTTGTGAGATTCCAAATGTTCATACTTTGTATTTTACCGTGTAATGTACATATATTGACTTTAGCTAACTGTCTTGAGCCCAGACTATAAGCTATTTAGTCTTTAAAATTATATTTTAGAGACTTACTGAAACGTACATTGTCAGTGTTAACTTAGCATAATTATTTGCACCTGTTTCATGTTTTATTCAGACTGTTATCCTGAGACCAATGCTGATTGACATACCACTGTCGTACTGTGTTACAGGTAATATTCTATGCATTTCTGTGTTAGTTTTCATGATGTTTTATTAGGGACGAGCACCGTCGACCAGTGCCAAGCGACCCCTATCTGTTCCTGTAGGATTATACTTATTACTTCGGCTACAACTTCGACTCGCATATTTGGCGGCCGCAACAATGCTCAAAAGTCATCGGAATCTTGCACAATCAAAACGTAAGCGAAATACCGGTATGCAATTGTCTGCCATGCAGCGCGGCCCACAAAATGGCGGAGCCCGCCCCGAATCAGCCCTCAAGACACGTTCAGAGTTGACCTATGTACGAAGAAGTCGGTACGCATGGTGTATCGTGAAAAAGAAGGCAGAGAAAGACTCGTTTGGACCCGATACCCTCAAAGCGCCAACAGGGAAGTCGGCATTTTCATTTGATTTCAATTGTCGCCATTTTTGTGGTCATTTCTTTTCTGGGCTTGTTATTTGAAGGAATCCTCTAGGGATTTATCAGTTGACTTCAAATTGGTTATACAGTCAATAAAATGTTGCTGTGAACGCCGTGTATTGCGCGTAGTTGAACTTGTCCGTGGGTGCGTCAAAGTTTGGCCCATTTTGAATTCTGTGTTGTTGCTATTTGAACGAGCGAACTCCCGGGATTCTATCGGCTGGAACTCAGATTTGGGACACGAGGCCATCTAACACCACATTCATGGATTAAAAGCTGTGCTATTCAGGTTATTCCGTTGGAACTAAGCGTGGACATGGGCGTGGCGGTCCCGTGACGTCCAATTTTGATCCCTTTGCCATAAAAAGAGGATTTGTCCATAAACTTGCTGGCATACATCGAATCCGACTGCCAACAAAAACTTCATATGTTTGAATTAAGATACCCGCCCTGAACCCACGCTATGTGATAATATTTCAGTAATACTTGAGAGCGCCAACCTAGGTGGGAACAGCAAGTATCACTGTTTTATACATTTCATGGTTTCTACTACTAGCAGGATAATCAGATCCAGCTGAAAATGTAATTATAATATGCAAAACACACATTGTTTGATGATATGTGTTGACTGTGGTGGAGGGGACACGCTGTTCTTGTGCGCGTGTGCAGCGAACCTTTGATTATTGCCAACCAAAACACGAATTCGCTATAACTTCAAGTGTCACAATTTGTCCAATCAGATCCAAACTTCACTTTGGTCCTGATAAGTAGTCCCCAGCCATTAACATGCATATGTGATCACATACAGTAATACTGATACCGGACTAGTGGGGAACAGGAAATTCCACAAACTTCGACGTACGTGTCCCATCTCAATGGAAATTCATGGTTTGATAAAGTCCCGCCAGAACCAGGATTCTAAATGGATAATACTTCAGACATAGTGATAACACCAGCTACTGGCAACCAAGAAGTAACGCGCTGCGTGGCGATTTTGAAGCTGGATTTACATGAGATCTTTTATGTTTGTGCGTCCGCACCATGTTACACGATGGCGACTGGACCGGCCGCACAGCCGCCGAGTTGCGTGAGTGTGAGGTCCGCCAATGCTGCTTGCAGCTTTACTTGCATATTATTGTTGTTTGTGTGAGCAGCCTTTTTAACGTTCAGTTAAGTAGCTCACGCTAGTTTGGCTAGCTCATAGTTTGATGAAGCAGCCTGTTGATTAGGTGTGTATGATGTATACCTGTGCGGCGTTTATGCTCACCTCATGCTAAATGGTGAATGTGGTTTTTCCATGTTTTCTTATATTATAAAACGGATTACTGTGGGGTGTTTTCACCAGTATAATGTCAGTGCATATGGAGATATATTTGATTGTGCAAATGTGAATACAATGTAGCCTAAGGCCTTGTAATGTACTAGAATATATTAGTTAATATA